TCAGTATTTCTGCTTGAATGAAACTGTTTGTGACATGAACGCTTGGGACATGTCAATTAAAAAATCTTGCGAAAACTGATCAACTTAGAAGTTTTGCCTAACTTTGAGTGTAATAAATAAAATGTCAAGTTTGTGTTGAATATAAGTATGTTAAGCATACTTATAAATTTGTTGACAGGAATTTTAATCCCTTAGAATTGATTCACACTGACATTTGTGATATGAAGTCAACACCATCTCGTGGTTAGAAAAAGTGTTTCATAAATATTATTGACAATTGCACTATATACTGTTATGTCTATTTACTTAATGGTAAGGATGAAATAATAGAAACATCTAGGCAATATAAAACTGAAGTTGAAAATCAGTTGGATAAAAAGATTGTCATGATTAGAAGTGGTAGATGTGAAGAATATGAATCTTCTTTTGCAGAAATATATATGGAAAATAGAATCATCCATCAAATTACTGCACATACTCACCTCACTCTAATAAAATTATTGACATGAACAAAAACCAAACTTTATAGGAAATGTTGAATGTCCTACTTATAAGTTCAGGTTTACCACAAAATTTGTGGGAGGATGCTATCATTATATCAAAAGAGAACAACAAAAAGTTTGTCTGTTCCGAAAGAGAGAAATAAAAAGTTTTGTTTGTTAAGAAAGGGAGCAACAAAAAACTTGTGTTTGTTAAGAAAGGGAGCAACAAAAAGTTTTGTTTGTTCAGACTTTTTTGTATCATGATAGACAATTGCTTGCCGCCCCTTAAAATATATACAAGCAATAACTCTTGAAAGATGGTGATCTAACAATTTTCAATACAGACTATTCCATATGAGAAATGGAAATGAGGGAAATCCAACATCAAAAATATTTCATAGTGTGGGGGTGTTGAGAAAAAATAATCCAAGATCCTATTCCCAAAAGGGTCAAAATAGGACATAAGAATGTGGATTGTATGTTCATTGGATATGGTAAAAATAGTAAAGCACGTTGATTTATGGTTCATAAGTCTGAACCGTTGGATAGTCAGATCTAAATGACCTTGGAATGAACCAAAGGAGAATGTACTTAATAAAGAGATTTCGAGGCGTAGTAAATGTCAAAGGACATTTACTTCCTTCGGGTTTGATTTTGTAACTTTTCTTCTTGAAATGAGTCTATATATTCGAAGAAGGTATGTCTTCTATGGACTCATCCTTTTTGGAAAAAGGCTGTAAATAGTAAGATAGATTCAATCTTGAGCAACCATACTTGAGAGTTTGTTGATCTTCCTCCAGGAAATAAATCTTTGGGTTCAAAGTGGATCCACAAAAGGAAAAGAAAGTTGATGGAGCTATTGACATATACAAAACAAGACTTGTTGTCATAGGCTTTAGACAATAAGAAGGTCTTGATTATTTTGACACATAATAGTCACTAACTAGGAGTACATCAATTCAGATGTTAATTGTACTAGTTGTGGTATATGACCTTCAAATTCATCAAATGAATGTGAAAAACTATTTTCTTAAATGAAGAATTGGAGGAAGAAATTTACATGGAACAACTTGAGGGCTTTGTGGTTCCTGATAAAGAAAAGAAGTGTGTAAGCTTGTTAAGTCACTTTATGGATTAAAATCAAGCGCCCAAATAATGACATGCGAAGTTTGACTAAACTATGTTGGCAAATGAATTCAAGATTAATGAATGTGATAAATGTTTTTACATTAAAGACACTCCAAATCACAAGGTCATTGTTTGTTTTTATGTTGATAACATGTTGATCATCAAAAGAGACATTTCTGACATAAATGCTACTAAGCATATGCTAGAAAGTAACTTCAATATTCAAGAAATTGAAGTTGGTGATGTGATTGAAAAGGTACAAGTTCAAATATTTGGATTTCAATATTGTCAAGACTCCAATAAATGTGAGTTTTGTACTTCAAAAGAATGAAGGAGAAAGTGACTCACAATTGAATTATGCTAGAGTATTGAGAAGTATGATATATATCATAACGTGAACACTATCAAATATAACATGTGTTATTAGTAAACTGAGTTGGTTCACGAGTAATCTCAATCAAACTTATTTGGATGACAATAAAAAGATTTTAGAGTATCTAAAACATACTTAAAAACCTATGCTTTTCATTCTAACTGATATTCAAAAGTATTGGAAGAATATAGTGATGCAAATTGAATCACCAGGTCAGATAAAGTAAAAGTCACGAGTGGATATGTACTTACTCTTGGTGGAGGAGCAGTCTCTTGAAAATCTTTCAAACAGAAATGTAGTGCTCGCTCTACTATGAAATCTGAGTTTATCACTCTATATAAGGCTGGTGAAGAAGTTGAATGACTCCGAAATTTCTTGAAAGATATTCTTTTTTAGCCCAAACTTTTAGCACCAGTATGCATATACTGTGAGAGTTAAGTTGCAATAGGTAGAGCATGGAGCATGATGTATAACGGAAAGTCTTTTCATATATGACATAGACATAATATCGTTATAGAACTACTCTCTAGTGGAATTCACAATTGACTATGTAAAGTCAAAGGATAATGTGTTGGATCCACTTACAAAAGGACTAACTAGGGAGGGAGTTGATAGATTATCAAAGGGAATGGGGCTATGGCCGAGGACAAGTCATTGTGGCGGTAACTCTACCTAGAAGACTAGAGATCCCAAGATCTAGGTTCAAGGAGATAAAACAAATTCATTGATGACGGTTCAACATTGTCAAAATATTCTTTATGGTCCATTCTCTTGATAAGACAGTGTTCAGTAACAAGGATAAAGACATTAGGACTTTTTAATGGTTTCTAAGTTTGATACAGGGTATATCAAATGGTGTATCTATAGGATAACACATTTAGAAATCACCTAGTGTGAAGTGTAAGCCGCTTCAAGGAGAATCCGGTAAGGCCAGTTCTCTACGCACTTATAAACCAAGACGCCTTCATGGCTGAAACGGACAAAACAATGAGAACCAAAAACAGTTCAAAGGTTGATTGTGTGACTTATGTTGTCTAGGTACACACCAAAGCTCAACGGTTCAAAGATATCAAATCTATCGATTGACCGAGTATATACTATATATGTTCCATTATGGAAAGTTCAAAGTGAAACCCACTTATCCAGATGCAATCAATCTTACTTACAAATCATACAATTTTTCATGCATATGTTTTAACAATAGTAATTCCCTATTCATGTGGGGGGATTGTTGGTTTTTAAATGTGTGAATAGGAAATGAAGGGTTGTGACTTTGCCGAAGGGTTGTGACCTTTATGAAAGATTGTGTCTTTTCTAAAGGGTTGTGACATTTCTGAAAGGTTATGTTTTTTCCAAAGAGTTGTGACATTTACCCTTTGTTGGCTATAAATAGAGAGACTTTCTCTCAGTTTCGGCATCAAATTATTCCTCCCTTCTGCATACATTTCTTACAAAATAAAATCGATCGATTGTGTGTGTATGTGTGATTCATTGCTGTCTTTTTGAATTCGTTGAAATTATTGAAGTTTGAGGTACCACTACTTTTTTAATGGTTAATCCATTTTATCTTGGGAGGAATTAATCTACAACCTCGGGTACTTGAGGGATTTAATTTCCTAAGAACACATAGTGGGTTCTGTGGAATCAGATAGTTCTTCTTTTTTTTCATCTTAATTGTTTCTACTTTGCTAATCTACAAGAGATAACAAATATGAACGACCCTACTATTTTTTAAGTTCTTGTGTGTTCCTTAGAAATGTTACCAGCAGACATAGCATAAAGACTTAAGTCATACAGAGCCCCTTAAAGTTGTCCGCATATTTCATTTTAATATCTTATTTAGGACTTGTTCTATTGAACACTTAAATTGTTCAAAATAAATACCTATAGACACTTTTCTCTTACATGGCAAGGAAGGTGCAATACACATACATTAAGCGTGTCAGAAATATATTTTTTAATCTCTTTCTTCTTCCTTCTTCCTTCTTCATAACTTCTTCGAACAAACCACCATCTCCACCGTTGCCGCCGATGTAGCCACCACCAATCCACCCTTTTCTTTTCTTCTGTCACCCCTCCCTGTCCCCTCACTTCTACCGTTTTCAACTAGAAAAGACCATTACGATTTCCTTCTCCATTTTCTTCAAGTCTGACATATACTACGATCTTATTCATCAAAAAATAAAATAGAGACTCACACAATTACGACTCTGCTTCTCCCTCTTTTTTTTTTTTTTTTGAAAAATATATATCTATACCCAAACAAATCAGATCTAATATAAAAAATGAATCACCTCTCCTTCATCCTTTCTTCATGTTTTTCGTCAATGGTTTCATTGGTATCTAAAATTATAAGTGGTTTATGTGTTGATTAATTTATAATGTAAATGTAATTTGCTCTTTTCAACTTTCAAAAAATCATATTTTTGGAAAAAACATATCTTTGGATTGAGAGGATTGGAAGGAGACGACAACGATGGTGGGTGGACGAGACACAATGTTCAAATTGAGACATTTCCCAAATTTCAGCAATTCATGAGATGAATTAATTGATCTATATATTAAAATATGCAACTAACTCCTAAGCATGCCATGAATCATCAGATCCATAGCTGAGTGACTTCAATTTTTCCTTTATTTCTTTTTTTCCCCCTCAAAATGCCACATGTACGTCATTGATTTGTCAATTTTTCACATCATCGTGAGTGTATTAAACACATTTCATACTTTTAGTTGATTATCAAAAAAAAATTCAAAAGGATCAAATCAGGTGTTCAGTAGATACTAATTCTAATTAAGGTGTATAAACGAATTATGTGAATAACTTTAAGAGGCTATGAATAACTTAAGCCTAACATAAACTTGTTTTGTTCGAACAATATCATGCCATAATGGCAATCTAATGGTTATTAGTGGGGGGAATGCCCCTCTTAACTCTGAAGGAATCCTCAACTTAGCTTATTTAAATCCTCATTTAACCAAAAAAATAATAATAAATAAAAATAAAGATAGGATATGCCAGTGACCATTTGCTTACATTTTGAAACGCATTGCTTAGCGGGAAATCTGAATAGGCTGTACTCTGTATCAATGGAGGCCGGGGCAGAGAAGAAAAGGGTGATATCCCCGAAAAGTAAGAAGAGAGGTCGGCGTAACAGAGAAATACCTCGAAAAGAAGTTCCATTAAGCGATGATATAGAGGACATCAGTTTCTCTAAAGATGAAACCCTACAGATTAGGGCTTCTCTATTGGAATGGTACGATGAAAATCAAAGAGACCTTCCTTGGAGAAGAATCAGTAGTGGTTTCGATGAGAGAGATAAAAGGGGTTATGCCGTCTGGGTTTCTGAAGTAATGCTTCAGCAAACTAGGGTTTCAACTGTCATTGATTATTTCAAACGCTGGATGAACAAATGGCCTACCCTTCATCATCTAGCTCAAGCTTCTCTTGAGGTTCCTTATACTTACCTCCATGCTTCATTTTCTTTATTGGAATTCACAGCCTTAGCCTTGTCCTGTCCTACCTTGTATTGCAGGAGGTGAATGAAATGTGGGCTGGTTTGGGGTATTATAGACGAGTTCGCTTCTTATTACAGGTGAGCTACCTTCCCACTTCAACAGATGCTACATGCTTCCTCACTTGTCAAAACTTTTCTTCTTCTTTCATTTAGTTCAAGTTACCCAAATAGGACCAAGTATCCGTAAAATCACATAGAGACAAGTTGTTTCAAAATCTATAAATTCCCACATTGGTAGCCCAGCAACCAAGGGTTTTCATAGACGTTCGATTCCTCTGATTACTTTATATATAAAATAAAAAAAATAAAAACTGAAACTAATGCATACTTGACTAAGAACAGAAAGCAATAGAAGTAATGGATCAATTAGGTAATACCAACTAGTTGGGTTGTGGGATGTAAACTCAATTGTTGCCATCATTACACTTAAATTAGGTTGGATGTTTGCTAGAAGGTTTCTTAGTTTGGTCAGGGACTTGTATGTACTACAGTACTAGTAAGGATAAGTGCGAGATTTAGAGAACCCTAATGCATGGAAAAAATGATTTTTTTTAGTATTGGACCGAAGTGAGCAAAAATTGTGCCAGAATGGGTACAAAGGATTTATATAGCTGATATAAACTAGTTTGGGATTGAGGTATAGTTGGTTGATATAGCTGTGCAATCAAAGAGCAGTGCCACTTAGAATTAGACATGTTACAGGAGCAGCATAATCTTTATTAACTGGATGGAGCATATTCCTACAGAGTAACTAAGCATTTATCCATTTGTAGTTCTTCCAGTTGCCAAGTTACAATTGATTAGCTAAAGGTGGAGAGTCCAAATTCTCTTTGATTATGTTTTTTTCAGACTAAGAGATGAAAATATCAAATCGTGTGTAGAGGAAACTACAATTTTTAATCGGCTTAAAAATTACTGCATTGCAAATTAGCATTCTTAGCTCTACTGAAGTGTTTATTGTCGTGTTTGCTTAATAGAGATATCTGTATTTTTGCAGGGTGCAAAAGAGGTGGTTGAAGAAGGAGGTAGTTTTCCAGAGACAGTTTCAGAACTTCGCAAGATCAAAGGAATTGGTGAATACACTTCTGGTGCTATTGCCTCAATTGCCTTCAACAAGGTTCATAGGTTCTGCAAACTTTTGTCTCACTAATACACTCTTCCTCTTCTCACATTTTCTAAGTTATTACTGTAGGCAGTGCCTGTTGTTGATGGGAATGTGGTCAGGGTTATTTCTAGGCTGAAGGCCATATCAGCGAATCCAAAAGACGCTGCGACAGTTAAGAGTTTTTGGTGAGTCTTTGTGATGTATAAAACAGTTTTAGTTGCTTTCTTGCTGTGGAAGATAGTAAGCAACTTTTAAGAACAGTACATTACAGAGAGTTGCATCATATTTCTTTCTCTACTTATCTTTTCTTTCTGTTTCATATCAAATATATTCAGGGAACAAATATAAATTAATATCTTGCTTAAGAAGTGATCATGCTAGATACTAGTAATCACTCAATTTCAGATATTACTTTATTTCTTAATGAGTTTTCCATCTTGTGTCATGATATATTTTCTTTTGAATTAGGAAACTTGCAGGACAATTAGTTGATCCTTGTAGGCCTGGAGATTTCAACCAAGCTCTTATGGAACTTGGAGCTACGTTGTGCTCTCTTTCGAATCCAGGATGTGCTGCGTGCCCCATCTCTGCGCAATGTCATGCTTTATCGCTCTCTAGGCAGAGCGAGTCAGTTCATGTTTCAGATTACCCAACAAAAGTTGTGAAGGCCAAACAAAGGCATGAGTTTTCCGCTGTTAGTGTTGTAGAGATACTGGATTGCCAGGAAATGACGGGACCTCAATCCAGCAGCAAATATATTCTTGTGAAAAGACCAGATGAGGGTCTACTTGCCGGCCTCTGGGAGTTTCCATCAATTCTCTTGGAGAAGGAAGCAGACTTGGCCTCGAGAAGAAAAGCAATTGATAACTTTTTACAGTCATCATTCTATCTAGATCTTAAAGAGTCTACTAGAATAGTTTCACGAGAAGATATTGGAGAATGTGTCCACGTCTTCAGTCATATACGCCTCAAGATGTACGTAGAGTTATTGGTCTTACATCCAAAAGGTTCATTCTATGTGTTGACTTACTACCTCATGGTAACTTATTCAAATGTTTAGAGTGTAACACCTTTTTTATATACTTAATTGCATGTGGTTTCTGTTGACATGTAGGAAATAGAAGCATCGACTACAAAAAACTGGACAAAGAGAGTATTACATGGAAGTATGTCGATGGCAAAAACCTTGGTAGCATGGGATTATCATCTGGAGTAAGAAAGGTACCGCTGAAAATCAACAGATACTAGGTTTTGCCGGCCTTCTCAGTGTAGTTGGATGTTATAATGAAGAAATGTGATGGCTCTTATAAGTTAGTTGTAAATAAGGAAAGAAGAACTTCTCTGAAACAGCAAACATCTTATTGACTGCTGCACAATGATTTGACAATTCACATCTTGAGTTGAATATTTTCCTTAATTTATAATGCACTTATCAAGAGCTTTATCTGTGGATCATGTAAATATAGGTCCAACTTCCAAGTAGTCATTATAAAATGATTGATATATGAGGTTATCTTGTCACTTCGTGCTTAGCTCATGTATGAATGTTTTCCGGCTGTTAAATTTTTAACATTGTGCAACATAGTTAGCATAAAAAATAACATTACTACTGTGTTCGGATGTTTAACATTAGTTTCTCCATTACCATCTAATGCTTGTATTCAAACACTTAGTTCAATGGTCAACGTTGCAACATTAGTCTCTTGATGAGTTACCAACTTTCCTGCTGCTTTCGTATTGGTTGAACATCTGAGGGAATGGTGAATCAAAGATGACCAACAGTTTTCTTGTAATGCAGGTTTATACCATGGTACAGAAACACAAGCAAACTGAACAGGCTACCATCCCGGAAAGGAGGAAGAAGACAGCAGTAAGAAGATAGAGATGGTACTGACTGAGTGGCTGTGCCAAGAATACCTTAACTTGACCACTCAGGTACTCTTTTCTCCAAATTCTGGCATCCTCTTGTAGGAGATTCCTCCCTGTTCTAAGATTATGTATAAGGTCTCTTTATGTTCTGATTGTTTTTTATTCATTTATTTTAGACTATTATTGAACCTCCTGGTAATGTCTGTTCTTGTTTCATAAACATCCACCCCTTTTCTCCTTTCTACATTTCCAGCCAAGCAAGTGCGTTGATGGGTCAGACTGATGACATACAGTTTGTCTTTTTAAGAATTGAATTGGTTCTACTATAGTTCCCACATTAAGAAGTTAAGAGAATACATGTTCATAATACATAGCTACAATAAATCAATGTTATTTGGTTTCAGGAATGTTCAAGGTTCCCTTAGTAACTGGAAATTTATGCATGAAGACATTATTGTGCAGCTGCTTGACAATTGGTGTATAACAGAACATACAGATGCTAAATTATTGTATCTTACTGACATGTGTTTCCAAGCTTGGTCTGTTTTATTAAGTGGATATGTATCCAGTGCCAGCAGCAGTTTCAGGGATCTAATGGTTGTAAAATATTCTGTATACAGGCATAGTGTTTTGGAGCTTAACCTCTTTTGTTCCTTTTCCCCATTTTGGTTGGTTTTCTGCTTTCAGATGTAAGGAATGATAACCAGAAATTGGTTTTTGATTAACCAAGTTACAACTTTTTCAATGAGAGTGTTACATCTCCTGCACCTCTTATTTATTTGGGTAAAAGTAAGTCGGAGTGACCTGAGAGACCCTTATTGACCGTTGACGGACTCCATTAGATACCTCTTTCTTCTTCCCCACCTCCCTTTCTTTACCCCACTCACCCCTTCTTCTTCTCCCCCATTTTTACCACCTTCAAAAAGCAATAACTCCACAAAATTCAGTTCATACAAAAACCTAACTTTCAATACAATCAATTTCTTTGACACATTATTAACATCAAATCGAAAAAAATCCAAAAACCAAGGAACTAGAAAAACACACAAAATTCTCAGCCCCTTTCTCTATTATTGGAGAATATTATGAACACCAAAAAACACCATAAAATTCTTTTTTATATGCTTCACAAATCATCAAACCAGTGAAATGTTCAATTGTTTTTATGCTTTTATTAGTTTGATTTTTGTTATTAAAATCTCTTTGTTCACTCTATCAATTTGCTTATATTTTTGAATTGAGTGGAGAAAATAATAAAAAAAAGAAACAAAATAGAAAGAGATCTGAAGAAGTGATGAGAAGGGAGATGGATGTGAAGAAGAAAGAAAAGAGGGGGTGGAGGATTTTGATGGAGAAGCGAAAAGGGAGTAGGAGGAAGAAGAGGGGAAAAATCTGATGAAGAAGAAAGAGAGGGAGGAAATTTGGGGGTTGGGGGGTCTGAAGAAGAGAAGATGGGAGGGATATTTGATTTAATTATTTTTTAAATATTTTATTTCTTATTTGTCACTAAAAATGACGTGGAACTCCACACATAGATGTGTCTCATTAAAAAATGACGTGGAGTTCCATGTGTAAATGTTTGTATTACACGTACATTTCTTAGATGAGAAAAGGATTTAAATTATCAAGTTTCATTGGGTTTAAGGATTCAGTTGGTGAAACAATAAATAAAAAGGTTTAGGTGACAATTCGAGCCACGTATAAACATCTCCCATGTTATTCCGCCTAAAAGAAATAACTCTATTTAATTACTAATACAAACAGAATTCGAACAGTGATTGAAGAACTCCAAGTAAATGAGGAGATCATCTTTTTTGACCATGGGTTTACACTGTTTTCAGGAATTTCAAGTGTAAAGAGTATCCAAAGAGCACTTGGTCAATAACTAAAGATGATAAAAGTTAAAAAGGAAAATGGTCAAAATTCTCCTCTACTACGTGAAATAGATTATTTATATTCTTCGTTGCATTTTGGGATTAAAAAATGCTCATGTCGTTATCCTAAGAGATCACAAATACCCTCAAGAGTTAACACCTAGAATTTTTAGTGATGTGGCAAGCCATGTGGGACCAATCCCTCCACCTAAGCATTGCTAACTAAGATTTACTTCAAAAACCTAGACATTTAGCGGCGACAACAGTTGCCACAAAAGCCCAGAATATCACCACTAAAGGTTTTAACTAATTTTTAGCATTAAATTCTGATTTTGTGTTGTTTTCTTCATTGTTTTTAAAAGATCACAAATGATATTGATTAAGGAGGAGTTTGAAGACACTATATGTTTTATTTTTATGTCATATGTAAATACATAAAGTGTACAATGATGCATTATGTAGTAGGAGATTTGAATCAAGAAGTAATTTTGATGATTTTCATTATAATATTGGATGTTTTTAATATTGATAGTGCATGTTATTTATTTTAGAAAATTAGGTCGCAACCGAAAATTAATTATCATATTTTTTTGTTGAAAAAATAGGTTTTACTAGTGAATGGCTGTTGCACCCTTAATCGCCACTAAAAATTACTCAACTTTTAGTGGCAATATTTTGGGATTTTGTGGTGACTTTTGTTGCCGCTAAAGGTCTAGTTCTTTGGCAGTAAATTATAGTTGACAACGCTTAGGTGAAGAGATTAGTCTCATGTGGCTTACCACGTCACTAAAAATTTGAGTAGTTCACTCTTGAGGGTATTTGTCGTCTCTTGGGATAATGACAGCGTATTTTGATCTCAGAATGTAATGAAGGATATAAATTGTCTATTTCGCATTGTTTAAGGGTATTTGACGCTTTTCCGTAAAATTATTAATAATAATAATCCTCATTTTACGTTGACTTGCTTAACTGGATTTTATATATATATACACACACACACACTAGTTATTTTTTGACATATACCCTCACCAATAAATATCTATTCTCCAAATCATTTTCCAAGACCTAATACTAAACATCATTTAACAGAGATAGTTTGGTAAAATACCTATATCAATAATTGTTTTCTTAACGTATGTGTCAAGTCAATTAGTGACAAGTAAAAAAACGAGCCACGTAATTATAGCTAAAAGTAGGCCGCGAATTGTAATTAAGACAAACTATAGTTATGTTAACTAATTAACTAATATATGTTTGCTTATACGCGTAATTTTCCCAAAAAAATTAATTATGCTCCAATTTTCTCCATTTAAGGCAATAATTTATTTCAAATATTTTTCACTTTATTTGAATTTATGAAGTTGGAGTTGTATTTGCTTATACTTTTTACAATACTAGTCCTGAAAACGTGCGTTGCACGTTTGTCCCCTAATTGACATTAGAATAGTTAATTTATCTACATAAGTAAATATGTCACAGTGAAGCGTACGTAAATTCATCGCTAAGTTCAAAGCTAAGTCTTTATGTAAGTTTGACATAAGAATATAACTCTTCACAAAATATAGCATGAAAATCCTGTGTCAGATGTTGGAGGTTTGATACTTTTAATGTTTCGTGAAAAATAAACCTTTTATTATATTAGAGGAATTAATATATTTTAATTACTAATCGTAAGTTTTAATAATCAAAAAAGAAATTGGTTATAAAAAAAGATACGTATAAAGAAAAATATTACAAAATGTCTAGGTGGTGTAACATCAAATTTATAGAAAAAATTACAAGTTCAAACGGAAAAGAAAGAAAAGTAAATAAAGACATGTCATCTATAATAAAAGACATCACATTAAAATATATAGACAAAAATATTGCCATATTGATTGAATTACATTTTGTTAGAAGTCGACTTGCTATAGACAAAATGTTTCATTTGTATAAAAAACTAAAATCATAAAAAAAAAATTAAACAGAAAAAAAGCATAACTATGTTAAAAATACAGATACACTATATTTCTTGAACTATATATTAAAGGATCTGTATATAAAAACTTAAATATGAATTCTAATATAATAAAATTCAATGTAACATTGTCATCTTTTTACTTTACATTATTTTTTAAATTTATTTTTACTTTTGCACTAATTTTTGCACCTCTTTGTAATAGTTCAGTACATGAATTTTCTAAACATTTGAGATTAAATATAAAAAGGAAAGAGTACAAACATGTTGTTTTAAAAAGATAAATTATTATCAAACAACGAAGAAGACATAACTATAAATGTTTATCAAAGACTTAATCTTTTATGGGTCTAGTTGATAAAATATTTTGCGGGATTTGACATGCTTGCTCTCAAAATAATTAATTATAAATATAAATTGAGATTAGCTTTATTATATTTATATCGTAAAGATGGAAGAAACGAAGAATACAAAAAAATAGTAATCAATTACGAAGTTATATTTAAAAACTAAAAAAGATGAAGATATGAAAAATAAAAATTCACTTACAACATCATATTGGAGAATATTCATCTTGTAACTATGATAATTTACATATTTCTCAACAAAGAGAAGATGAATATGCATGAAATTTTAAAGAATACTAATACATGAATCAGAATTTTTACAATTACAAATTGGTAATGAAAATTTTACAAATGTTGTAGACTAACCTAATGTAGAATGCAAGATGATCACAAATTTGGATAAAAGAAGGGAATATAAATAACGGAAAAGGGCCTAAAATACCCTCGAAGTATTAAAAATGATACACAACTACCCCTCATCCACCTATTGGCTCCAAAATACCCTCCTCACCCACCTATTGGCTCACAAATACTCTCCCCATCCACCTTTGGGTCCAATTTTAGCCACTTCATTAATGGAGCACCATTTAAAATAATTAAATAATCCTTTTAATTACATGGCGCTGAACCATTGGTTGCAATTTAATTATTTAATATAATTTTAAACCCACACCCAATTTAATAATTCAAACCAATGGTTGAGTGTCACGTAATTAAAAGGATTATTTAATTATTTTAAATGGTGCTCCATTAATGAAGTGGCTAAAATTGGACCCAAAGGCGGTATGATGTTTTTCTAATCATCAAGTACGAAAATCTGCACAACAATATCAACAGCACATAAAAATGCCCACAATGTGAAAGCCTGCACTTCATCAATAGCAGGAGGCACATAAAAATGCCCACAATGTGACTGCACAACAATATCAACAACACCCTTGATATAAACGCAATTTCACTTCAAACTACAATTCTGTATTTCCCTATTATAACTAACAATCATAAAAATGAAAATCCCACAAAACCACTCAAACAGATTAAAAAAAAATCAAACAAGGAGAAATACTTGTATGAAAATATTGGGTTCTTTTTGTATTGGGTCGGGCGGGTTTAATAAGTATTGGGGCGGATTTAGTTAAAAATGGGTGAGTTTAAAATTATATTAAATAATTAAATTGCAACCAATGGTTGAAGGCCACGTAATTAAAAGGATTATTTAGTTATTTTAAATGGTGCTCCATTAATGAAGTGCCTAAAATTGTACCCAAAGGTGGATGAGGAGGGTATTTGTGAGCCAATGGGTGAATGAGGAGGGTATTTTGGAGCCAATAGGTGGATGAGGGGTAGTTGTGTACCATTTTCAATACTTTAAGGGTATTTTAGGCCCCTTTCCGTATAAATAATGTTGTGTGAGTGTCTTTGATAGACTCTTCATTACCCCCCACTTAACTTACAAATTAAAATTGAAGGTTATTAGACTCTTCATTACCCACATTTAGTACATGAATATATGATTGCATTAAGATCTTGTTTGATGCATGAATTTAAATATAACTATTACTTAATA